TCTGTGGAAAGTTTTTCTTTGAGCACGCTTTCTTAGGAAGTCCTATTTTCCTGTGGAATCGTTTGTTCAGGATACACTTCTGAAGGAGCGTTTTTGTTGAAATAAGAATCTGTGCATGGGTTGTGTTTAAGTTCATTTCTAACATTTTAAAGGTTACTTCTGAATCCTAAAGTGAAAAATATTTGTTTTTTTAAAAGCAAACAAAATGAAGTACGCGCGAGCCGAGACTTTACTTAAAGTCAGCATAGCTTTACATGAATCCCCGTGGATTAAGGAGTCAGTCTTACATTGCTAGAAATCTGGCAATGTATACTCGACTGATAGCTAGTCTGGCCAGCATGCAACATTATCCCCAATTCTATGCTTTACAGCCATATAAAACAAAACAAAAGCTTAATAAATAAGGAGTTTCGAAATGAGAAGCAGCAATGAATTTTTTCTAAGTCATGAGTTCTTCTACTCAATACCTTATATATTTCAGTTCTTTTTTTCGTGAATTTTTTTCTGTTCAGTTTTATCCCGTGTAAGTTTAATTGCGACAACTTCTTAATATAGAACAGAAATAGGTGAACAAAAATACCTCTTCATGCATACCAAGGCTGAAAATATAGGAAGATAAGATGATCCTCGCTTTGTATGAGAGATTTAAGGGCAAGTCCAACTAATCTACGAGGGAAGTGTTCAGCGACACACGCGTCTCAATTTAATAAGATTTGATACCTTTCCTTGGTTTATTTTATCGAAAACTTAGGATTAATTTTGAGTTTAAAAACAAATCAGTTTACAGGAGCCTTTATAAATTCTCATACGAAAATGATCAAGGAATGAATTAATCGTCCACACAGAGCGCACATTCTAAGATGGAAGTATAACTAAGTGTTTTATACTGTAATAGGCCCTTTGCAGCTAGTGGTCACGTGCTTGGATACCGCTTAGCAACACAAAACTGGAGAGCAAGCCTTCCAGTAAACAAAAGTTGTAATAGGTCAAGCACGCGTGGTTTTATACGATAGTTTCATCGTTCAAAACGCTTAATCCTTTTGCCCTATCTA